GATTCATAATCTTTTTTTTTTTTTTTTTTGCACTGCTGCAATTTATGTGCAAAAATGTAACGCTTTAATAATTTAATGTTTTATTCATAATTGTAATTAATATCTGTAACTAATAATTGTCTGCAATTTGATTTGTGTATTTATAAGCATTTTTTTAATTCTTCACTGCTGCAGTTAATATACAAATACTTTCCCTTGTGCAATGTTTTAATAATGTCAAGTTTTATTAATAATTGTAATAATATTACATTAAAATAAAATATAAATTATATATGCATTTAAATAATAATTTTAGAAGCTTTCAAAAGTATTAAAATATATATATATATATTTTTAAACCGGCTGTTACTATCATTTGTGATCAGATTCATGGTTGATGTGTGAGTTTTGCCTGGGTTTTGGCTAGGCTTGCATGGGTCCCTTTTTTGGCCTGTCTGTCAAAAGTGCTGTCTCATGAATCGTGGAAAGACTGAGTAGCTTGAGGTGTATATGAGTCAAATGATGCTTCTGTGGTCTTCGAGGCGAGGACTGTTCGTGAGATCTTTTTATACTGTCATTTGTAAACATGATTAGAACTGCATGTTTGTTCTGAAAGGGCGTTATGCAAGTTAGACCACATCAAAGTAACTCCGTTAGTGCTCTGGCACATACTGTAAACGTGATAGCGCCTACCATTACATGTTTGAGTCCAGCAGTGTGGTTCAGTTCTTCATGTGTGCTTGTTTCAACATGCCTTGATGCTTACGAGGAATCCTTGGATTTTCTCGTCTTCAGTGTCTATGCTCTCAATTTAGCAGATAACATTACTGCATTCAGGTCGTGTCGTAATGGTTGTGTTTACAATTTTAGCACTCATGAACGCCACTTTAAAGTGTTTATAGTGTATATGATGAGTTGTATTTGTAGGGATTATTATAATACAATTCTTTAACACCAACCCCCATCATCCCCCATACCCCCTGGGTACGGCCATGATGGCAGTGGGTAGTGGCCCAGATTTTGAAGCAAAATCCATCATAGTTAGCAGAAGCTAGAGATTACGGTTTATAAAGTTGTAAATATTGATATTTTTCTTACACAAACGCATCACTTCGTTTCAGGAGGCCTTTATTAACCCCCTGGAGCCGTGTGGTGCACTTTTATGATGGATGGACGCACTTTATTTTGCTTCAAAATCTGGACCACTACCCACTGCCATTATAAAGCTTGGAAGAGCCAGGACATTTTATTTATATATACAGTGGGTACGGAAAGTATTCAGACCCCCTTAAATTTTTCACTCTTTGTTATATTGGTTATATTGGAAAGAAGAAAGTCATATACACCTAGGATGCCTTGAGCATGAATAAATCATGGGGTAATTTTTATTTTTGGGTGAACTATCCCTTTAATCAGTACTGCTGATGAAAAAAAATGGGATAATCTTAAATAAAAGACAAAAGATAAAAGCACGATTTGCATGTCAGCATCTTTTCTTAATTAGCTGCATACCAAATAACTAAAGTAATGGACATTCATTGTTAATTAGAGAAGAGTACAGACTGCTGAAATGAAATTCTAGACAACACAAATAAAAATGAAAGTATTTGTGTAACCATGAAGTAAACTATCCATTTGCCTATACAGGACTTGAATTGCCCCAAAAAAAGCACAGAGGGGGATGAAATCACTGTTGCTACCTGGAAGTGGTACAGTCTGATGGATGAGGTAACTGGGGGCAGACCATCTGTGACTCCACCTGGCCTCATTTCCTCATTCTCCCAGGATGCAACAGTGGTTTCACCTCTCTCTTTGGTGACTCATGAGACTCATGAGAGACGTGATCTGCATAAGGTCACCCCAAAAAGGTGAAGGATAGAAGCCAATGACATACTATTTGAGGTCCACAGAAAGGGATGAAAGGCTGGAGAGAGATAATGGAGAGGGAGGACGGAAGACAGAGAGAGAGAGAGAGCAGAAGACAGGGAGATATAGGGAGATAGCTGTATGGGAGAACCACTTTCTCCTGTGATTATGGAATAAAACAGCTGCCATTTTGTTTCTCTTTTCTGCCCCACATACAGCATTGTCTGCCAGTACTACAAGTGCATTCTAATCAGTGGTCTAAATTTGTCTCCTCTGTCTGCATCCATGATGTCATCCTTTAAGACGCTGCTATGCAGAGCTGTACAGCATGCCTCTACCTCTAGTGCATAAATAGGATGAACTTCCAGCACTTCCCGTGCCACCTGATTTTCAGAAACCGAAATGTCCTCTCCACAACACTGTATGCTTTTGACAGGTGGTGGTTAAAAGATTGCTGATGTGTGAAGAAATCATCAGTTTAATTTGCTGGGACAGACAGGGGGAATCCATCATCACCAGCAGCCAGGGGGTGTATAAAACCTTGTGATAGATGGGACTGTTTTAAAACTCTGGCATCATGAACATACCCAGAAAATACTAATGATTTTGGAATGTGCAAGCAAAGTTTGCCTGAGGAGATGATTAAGCCTCTACCTAATGGTGAGTGAGGACATGTTGAGCATGAAAGCTAACATTAGGTGCATCCCAAATCGTGTACTTATGCACTATTCTATGACGTTTTGTAGTATAAATAGTGCAAGTACTGCACTCACACTGAAAATTCAAATTTAAAGGGTATTTAAAGTGCACTTGCCCGAATGATGCACTTAACCGAAAAAATGAATTGTGGAATATTGGACACTTCATGCACTCAACTGCCGCAGCTTTAATTACGTAGCGAAGGGGGAGGGGCTACCAGACTCCAATGCTGAATGACAAAATAAACATAACTCATACACTACATGGTTGAGTACATAGTGCATAAGTACAGGGTGTATAAGTGCATATAGTGTCATTTGGGACGTAGATATTGACTAGTAAAACATTTAAATCAATTTTCATTGTCAGTTTGGGTAATAAGCTAACGCTAGTAGTGTTTCATTATGTGTGTTTTACATAATTTGCCTTCGACTGGGAAAAGGCTTAAACTTCAGGTTAGTAAAAAATGCTATAGTGTTCCATTGGAGACAATACTACCCTTCTAATCTCATACACTAGATGGTACAGTACTCAGCGCATAGTGTAAGTGCATAGAGTATAGTGCAACTTCGACTGTGTAATGTGTTTATGAATAGAATGTGTTTATGCACTGAGCTCAAATAATTAACTTGAATAAACTACAGTTCAGAGTATCCGGGCTTCTTGGAGGTCCTAGGTGTGGCCCTATAAAGGGGTACCACCTGGGGACTCCCTAGTTCTACTGTGCAACGGAAATGGAAATGGAAAAACCTGGGGGGGAGTGACTGTGAGGAATGACCTGTCTGCTTTGAACTTGAGTGGTGTTCTGGACTGGACTTCTCTGCACATCATGGATTGGCCATAATGTACACCATGTTCAGGGTGGTGTAATGTATTTGGTACCAATGCACCTTAGGCCAATGAACAATGATTGTCTTTGCTGTCATACCATCTGACATACAGCCGTGTGTTTTGGACACTTGGGTAAAGAGAGGAGCAGAGTTGTCAACTGTAAGATTAAGAGGCTACCGGACAGACCCGGGAAACCCAAACAAGTTTGTTAGGGTGAACTGGGAACATTTGTCCAGATGATCTTTTAATACTACCAATGGAGAAACTACTACCTTATATCAAGGAAGTTGAGGACATGGAGTCCAAGTAGGCCCTGTTTAAAGCCTCTTTTGCGAAGGGGATTGCTTGAAACTTGAAACTGGAAAGATGCTGGTGACTGTCGTGACAGCAACCAGAGAACACATTGCTAGAAACCAATGGTAAGAGGTTGTCAGGCAGAAGGAGAAGGTATTTTGGAATTGGAGGTCACTGAGGTAGTTGAAACGTTCAGAAGAGAGTGAAGGCTCTGGATATTGTTGGGCTGTGATAGCTAACATGCCTGTTCAACACTGTGTGGAAATCATTTTGAAAAAGGGGGATCGGAGAATGTCTCACAAGGGTGTCTGGAAAGAAGAATCTGGCCAATTGTCGACCCTCATATAAAGGAGGAAAAATTCTGCTCCAGATGTGGACCAGCTTTTCACTCTAAAAAGGATCCTAAAGGGGATGTGGGAGTTTTCTTATCCAGTCTACAGTATGTGTTTTGTGGACTTGGAGAAAGTTTACGACTGTGTTCCCTGGGGTATCTTGTGGCAGGGAGGCACTATGGGAGTATGGGGTACTGGGGCTGTTTATGCAAGTGCAAAACCTGTGGTACAAGAGCTGAGTCTGCATTCTTGGCAACAAGCAAAGCCTGTTCCCAGTGAGTGCTGAACTCTCCTGAAGGCCTTGTTAGGTTGTGACCTTAAGTGCTCACTTGGGCAGTTTTGGAAGTGTGAAGCAGTGGGGGTGAGGGTCAGCACCCCAATATCTGAGGCCATGGTTTGCAGCCAGAAAAGGTGGATAGTCCTCCTTGGGTAGAGGGTGAGTTGCTTCCCCCAAATGTAGAAGTTCAAGTATCTCGGGGTCTGGTTTACAAGTGAGGGTAGATTGAAGCATGTGGCCATTGTATTGGATCTTTGTCATGAAGAGGAAGCCAAGCTTGATGCACTAGAGGGATTACATCTTTCGC